CGCGGCTCCGCGTCGCTCCTGCCAGATCTCAGGGAGACCCCGGGGGGCTCCTTCCGCGGCCCTGCGGCCTCTCCCTGCCGCCCTCCTCCCCGAGCCGAGCAGGGGGCTTCGGGGCTGCGAAGGTGTCAGGCGAGGCTCGTCGCCTCCCCCTTCCTCGCAGCCCGGAGGAGGAGGAGGAGGAGGGCCGGGCTCCGGCCCACGTGTGTCAGGAGCCTGCGTGGAGGGGCGGGCAGGGCGCCTCTGCCGCGGTGGGGCCACCTCCAGGGCACTGTAGCCAGGAAGGTGGCGCGACACCGTCCCAGGGGGCTCGGCTGCTTTCCGCCTCTAAAATAACTCCGCTCCAGAGTTGTCCTTCACCGAAAAGTAGACCGAGTCACTGCAGCTGGTGGCTTCGGGAGTGAAACCTCTCTCTCTTCTCGTAGGAAACGGCAGGTGTGTATGAGCCCCCGTCTTCAGCGGTGGCGACGTGTCGTGCCCGTTGCTTAGGAGGAGTTGGGTGCCGGCAGCGCCGGGGTGCGTGATTTAACGCTTCGCTGCCGCAGAAACTTACTCTGCCGATGTTATCGTCGGGGTCCCTGCATGCTCAAGTGCTGTCAGTTATAACGGGTATAGATATGGCCCCAAATCCTGTGGCTGCTATATGGGCCCTTTCTAAAGGAGCCATGTGAGTAAATAAGCTGCTTGATACAGCTTTTGGGGTTATGGCGTTGAACTAGTTTAAACGCTCAGTGGGCCAAAGACGCAAATAGACCACTTTCACGGCTTTATCTCGTAGACGCGATGTTCGGTAATTGCAGCATAAACATATTAGGCTGGATAATTCCTCCACTTCTTGTTTCTATTCGCTGGCATTTCTCCATAGCAAAATGAACAAAGTACCCTGTGATCAAAACAAATATCTTGGCTATGTGTCTTGTAACTATTCAGAGTTACGAGACCAAAGAGCGAGACGTATTGCTGTTCAAGACAGTGGTGTCTTCTGAGGTTTTGTCTTATTTTAATTAGAAGAAATAAATCATGGTTGTTTGCTTGAAAGAGTGGTAACAACGCTTCTGTATCCCTGCCATGTTCCTGTTTCAAATCCAGATGGGCAACTTAACACTAATTCTTTCATTTAAGGAGGAGTTTGAGTAAACTTGGAGGGTGGGTATCTGAGTATAGAAGTTGAATTATTTATAGTGGCTTGTTAACCTGTTGATCATCGGATGGATGTATAGTTCTGCTTTAGACTGTATTTCTAATACTGAGACTTCATGTGCTAGGAGTTACGTTAGTCGGGCAACTGTAAGAACATAACACAGTTGCCAACACAAGTTACTGCTCCCTCAGCACTTGGGAGATGGCCTGCTTAATGTCCGTGCTACATGCCCTCATTTGACATGGGCCAACCCGTATTGTCAACGTGTCCGACGTAGTTGGCAATTCTGTATGTGGATTTCCAGTGCAAGATCCTATAGTGCTATAGGGGAAGGTGTCTTTAGAGTATTCAGAGTTCCTGCTTGAAGACTGTCTCAATGTTCATGTTATAACATGGACAGACTTTCTAACTGAATGACTACTACAGATGCCAATGCTCATCTTTGTGTCATGTGGTGCTCATCAAGTGTCATGAGTGTCTTTGTGCTCATCAAGTGTCATGGCAGGACACTTGAACTCAATGCCAAGACTGAGCTTCATGGTAGGTCAGGTCTTCCTCCTTCACTGCTCGCTGTCTTCCAAGTCTCATCTGGGCCAGTGTGTTTCACCCACAATACTAGTTCTCTTTCAAAACAAAATAATTAATATTCCAGTGTTCCTGTATCTTGTGAGACATTGGATAATGGTACATGTGCCTTTGGATAGCATAGGATAGAATTTGGCTAGTTTTTGACATGATCAAAGTTTTTATAATTGCTTTGGGTTATACACTTACCTATCACAGTAGTAGTACTTGAGCGTAAGAGGTCAGTCAGAGCTGACAGTGTGAGCAAGACATCCATCCCACTCCTAGATAAGGAATCTGAGAAGCAAAATGGTGAAGCAGTTGATGTTCATGAGATTAGATAGCGGGGGGAGGGAAACAAGGTGGAGGTTCTCAGGACTGCAGCAAAATGACATGGGGAGGAGAGCAAGGGCACAGTACGAGCACTATAATTTCCTTTTAATCTATCTTCCACTCTTCTCTCTTTCTTTATGCTGTTGGTAAAGGATTTTGGACTTGCATTTGTGGCGAAGTACTATAAACTTGCATTCAACTTCCATGCAAGTTCTGGAGTTGCATGTATCCAAGGATGACTTGTGGTCCAGGGTGCAGTTATCTCCTATAGCAAAGTTCTAGCTTGTTAAACCCTCTTTTTCACCAACAAGAAGTGAGAAGTTGGCTTTTTTCGAAAAACTTGAATTTGATTTGGCTTTGCCTGCCTTTTTCCCCTCCTCCAGATGAGCACATCAAGGGAAGCTTCTTGCTAGAGCAAGTTTGAGTTCTGTTAATTAGATAACTAGCACCACAACAATAGTTAAATGAACTAATATGCTGCACTTCAAATAAGGCTTTCAAATTATAGAGTTGTGTTTTTTCCTAACTATAAGAAAAGTAACTTGCTGAAGATGACTGTTCTCTACCAGGGTCACAAAATAGCTTCCTTCCTAAATACAGCAATTCGCATAGAGTTCATTTAAACTTCGGTAATAAATTCCTTTGCCCGAGATATTTAGGCAATATTCAGCTGTGCTATCAAGAAACTAGGGTACAACTATACGTGTTGCAATCTTACTTGAAGCTATTGGATATGGTTGTACCAATATTTAATCTTAGAACTAACATAGTGAAGGAACTTGGGTGATATTTAGGTGCTTTTCTTTTAATGTAGGCTTAGGTCTGTTCTATCATTGTTCTCTAGTCTCCCTTCCAGGGAAGTGAAGGTCTAGGACCCCTCATGAAGTTAGTCCAAGAGTTGTCACTTGCTGTAGAGGCTAAAAGGGCACAGTTTCCATGGAATGGGAGCAGAAATTCTATACAAATAGCCTTGGGGACCTTGAGTACCTTCTTCTTCTGACTTTAGTGCTAACTAGCTTAATCACTATTTTCATTTTTCTTTTCTTTAATTTGGTGTACAATAGAGAGTCCAATAAGAGGATTAAACATTGTTTCACAAGGAGAAATGCTAGTAAGTAATTTTTGTATAGGAGAGCTATGTGTTAATCAAGTGAAACCTGACATTTTTTCCATTGTCTGTCTGAGATTTGCTACAGACATTGCAAAGCAGCAGAACTTCATGTATACAATCTCTAAGATAGTGGGGGCCAACCTTTTCAGCCGGCATGCCACAAATTGCCCCCCCCTCCCCCCCGCTTTTTCCCCCTGAGTGCTACTCTGATCTTTTCCTGGTCTGCTGCTGTGCTTGTGTGTCCTGCCCTGTGAACCCTGCCTGATTTGATACTGTGCTTTGTCCCCTGCCAGATCTGCCACTGTGCTGCCCTGTCCTCTCTCCACTGAGGTGCATGCCATGCCAATACCACTTGCAGCACCTGTGCTACAGTCTGGCTATCCCTGCTCCAAACAAAGCTGTCTGTAATGGTGTAATGGCAAGCAGAAAGCAACTTCTCAAGTACTGCTGTGACTTGCATAGCAATTTTTGGCAAAAAGATCTGACAGCAGTACACTTGACAAGCAAGTCAGTATTTATTTACAACTTCACACTTTTTTTTTAATTATTATTCAGAGGGACTTGTCAAGCTTAATACTTCCACATCACTCAATGCCAGCATACACTTGCTTCTAAAAAGGTACCTTCCATATTTTGGACAAGCTTCCTCTACTTTTGTTAGCTCTTAAGATGCTCCTAAATCAGGGTTGTTCAATCCCTGGCTTACAGGCCACATATGACCTCTATCATCCAGTCTGTAGGGCTCCCTGTGGATCCAAAAATTTAGCAGTATTTATTTCAGCTCCCCTGCTGCCAAACTTTTGGACCTATGGTGATCCCTGCAGGTCAGATAGCATAGTTCTGTGCCCTGGATCACGTGTGCAGGGCTTAATCCTTGGGCCATTCATCTTGCCTGTGGGGGCCAGAAAGTTGCTCCCCACCATCTTAATTTTTATCATGTAAACTTTGTTCTGTCCTACTGCATACAAATTTATCTCATGAGTAGGATGCCTTTCTTGTGGGGTTGGCTAGACAGAAGTAACTAACTTCTAGATGTTAGCATTTTAGTTCGATTTAGCAAAAAGTTAGGGATGTGAATGTTGCACACCCATATCCTAGGTATGGTGCATTACCCAGACATAAGCAAAGGGGTCATATTGTATTATACAGTATAATGCTATTGTTTAACCAATCTCTTAATTTGGGAGGGCAAGCCTTTATTCTAGTGAGACAGGCAGAGTTGTCATTCAAATCTTGGTTAGTAACTATGAACACAAGCACTCTCAGACTTGGTTTCTTTGAAAAAGAAATGCTGACCATCTTCCCCTGAGCAGCAGTTTGGGGAATTCTCCCAGAGACAG